CGCCTTAATATTTAATAGTCGGGCTGTCACCGATAACTTAGTGTGGTCCTCACAACCTGGCCATAAAGGTTCATCTGCTGCTTTCAACACATCCCGGAACTGATTAGATTGAAAAGTTTCATTATAGACATTCTCATCAAAACCCATTACTCCTATATCTTCCAATTGTGAAGCATGACTAGTACCCACTTGTTCACGTATAGGAGCAAAACTAGTACTTGCATGATTTGATTCTGTGACAAAATTATAACTAGCTGCATCAATCACCATCCTCTCGTATAGGTTCAATTGCTCATAATAGCCACATTCTTCCCTAACTGAAAATTGGTCACTTCTTCCATATCCTTCATCAGATATAAATGGTTCACCATGGGAAGTCCAATTATAATAGTTCGGACTAAACCCAAATCTAGTAAGGTGTTCTCTAACTTGATCACACACAAGAAATTTACCATTACCGCACTTTTTACACGGACACCTTAACTTATTTCCATCCATGAACTCATATTTACTACTAGCAAAGTCTAAAAATAGTTCCAACCCAGTACGAAACTCATCTGTCAATCCTTGACGTCCAGGTAAGTTCTTATTATACATCCAAGCCCTTTCTCTTTGCATTGTGTCTGTATTAAAATAAAAAATTATGGTAAAATATTTAAAATATCATATCTATTGTTCTTAATTAAAACCATAAAATTTTTGAAATTATAATTTTTGTTATTCACGCAACAATTAATATGAAATTGCAAAAATAGAAAAAATTACCATGTAAAGAAGACTTACCCAAATATTTGACTGAAATATTGGTAGGAGAAAGTGGTCAATTTGATGAGAATTGCAACGTCCACTTGGATTGCGAGACCTTCAATTAGACACATACCCAAAAAGAATAATCACTGAAGAATCATTTTTTAATAATTTTTAATGTGCAATGGAAATGGAATTCATCCGTCGCAAATTTGCGACGGATTGCCTTTATTCCGTCGCAAATTTGCGACCGATCCTTCATTCCGTCGCAAATTTGCGACGGATTCCCTTGATTCCGTCGCAAATTTGCGACGGATCCTTGATTTCGTCGCAAATTTGCGATGGAATTTTCACTTATTCATCGCAAATTTGCGACGGAAATGGCCGTTCTGCCTCATCCAAAGGCCGGCGAGGTGTCGACGGTCGTTCAACCGGTGATGCAGATACGAAAAAAAAACAAACATAAACATATATAAAATAAAAGAAATTACAATTCAACGATGAATAGTCACGAAGCTAGCTAATGATACTTACCGGTACAAAAGCTTCACCGAGATTAATACGTGCGTGCGCGAATTTTGCTGATTTCAGACATATGAAAGAGGGAGAAAAGCGAGAGACAGCGAGAGAGAGCGAGAGAGAGAGATATGGCTGGAATATCACGGGCTAATAAACTACAAATTTGCGACGGACGTGCGTTTTCGTCGCAAATTTGTGACGGATTTGGCGACGGTTTTTTTTTCCGTCGGAAATTTGTGACGAAAATTTTGCGACGGATTTATTTTCCGTTGCAAATTTGCGACGAACTGATTTCCGTCGCAAATTTGCGACAGATTTTGCGACTGTTTTTTTTTCCGTCGCAAATTTGCGACGAACTTTTTTCCGTCGCAAAATTTGCGACGGAATTAGCGACGGTTTTTTATTTCCGTCGCAAATTCCGTCGCAAATTAGCGACGGTTTATTTCCGTCCCAAATTAGATGTTTTTTTGTAGTGCTGGGCTATTCTCTCCAACTGACTTGTGTGCTTGACTTGGTCCTTTACCATGTGCTTTAGGCGTATGACATTGTTTTCAGGATATAATTGTATAATTATACGTCGCAAGGTTTCATGTTGTATCTTTGATAGGTCGTCATTGTTTTTTTCCTTTGGCTTTCACACTTTTTTTCCAAAACTGCCTGTTATGCGAGAAACTTTTAGGTTATTATTGTTAAAATATGTCTCGAGTTCGAGCTCGAAGCGAAAATTTAAATATTTCGAATTGGATATTTTGCGGATATTCGAAATCGAGCATAGCAAAATACGATAACCGTTCTTTGGCAAGTTGAAGTCCGGGAAGAAAGAAAGAAAATATACGCCACGAATTGGTTTCTACGTTGAAGTCAAAGTTGGAGAAGTTCGATTGTCTCAGGAAAGGATAGTCCACAATGGTGCAGTTTGCTGCCAAGTAAAAAAGAAAAGTGAATAAAAACGTGAAAATTTGACCCAAAAAAGAAGAAGGGGAAATATACGAAATCTACTGCACGTTGGAGGGAGGGGCTGATTTACTGGGAAAGTCTACTATGCTATGGACTTTTCACTTGGACCAACTTTTGGGCACATATAAATATATATTCTTTATATGTGGGAGTTACTTGCACAGAGACAAAAAGAAGCGCCGCTTCCGTGAGTGTTTGAAGAGTGCCGTCGTTGATGAGTGCAGCGCGTGATCTTCGTGCTGACTGCTGTCCATGTCTAGATCGAAGAATTGATTCTTGCAGCGCCGTGTTCAATCGAGTGCTCGCGGCAGCGCGGGTTTCCTTCGTGGAATCACACCGATATATCTAGTGTTGAAGCCGATTAAATCTTGTGGTAAGGTTTGTGTATAATTCCTTCGTGAGATTAAAAGATTATTTCGTGAGGAATTAGGAAGTTAAATACTGCGTGCGTTACTGGATATAATTGGGGCTTGGGAAACACTTAGAGTGTTTGAGTGACTCGAGTGTGGTTGTAATCTCCGTTGTATCGCTTGATCTATATTGGAATTCGTGCTGTTCTCTCTGTGGACGTAGGTCACTATGACCGAATCACGTAAATCTGGTATTCGATTTATTTTCTTATTTTGTAAATTTTATTGTTCGATCGCTTGGTTTCCGTAACAGTTATGAAACACAATATGACCATATACGCCCAATCAAAATGGAGCAAACATTCGTTTGGAGGAAACTAAAAGAATTTTAGTACTTAGAATAGTTGGGATCGACGGGGGCAGCATCGATAACGGAGACGGTGATCGGAGGTGATGGAGCAACGGTCGACGGCAGGGATGGTGATGAACGATGGGGATTACAACTTGTGGGTAGGGGGTGGGGTGGGGTGGGGGCTAGGGTTTGTGGGATTTAGGAGATGCCAGATTTTCAAATGGGGATAGTTTGGTCTTTTTAGGTGGTGCGATTGGGTTCGGGATTCTAAGATGCATTTCCAAAAGGGCAAAAGCCACGAAAACCCCAAACTATGTCCACTGTGACACATTTATCTTAAACTTTTTTCTGTGACAAAAAATTCTCAAACTTGTACGTGTGTGACACATTTACCCTCTGTCAATGAGGACCGTTAAAAATCCGCTTACATCGACGTCGAAAGCAAATGTCGCTGACATGTTACTCACAGGGCTTAAGCGGAATAAAAAATACGTTATTTTAACTGAAAAATCATTTGACAGAACCTTGATGGAGGGTAAATGTGTCACAGTGAGCATAATTTGAGGTTTTTAATATTACAAAAAAATGTTCAAGGTAAATGTGTCACAGTGGGTATAGTTTGAGGTTTTTAATGTCACAAAAAAAGTTCAAGGTAAATGTATTACGGTAGATATAGTTTTGGGATTTTTTGTGGCCTTTTTCCCTTTCCAAAAATAAAGGATGCAAAGTGGTGAAGTTGCAAAAAGTCAAGAGGGTTCTCTGAAATTTCTCTTCCTTTTCAATTGTGTCATTACAATCGACAGTAAATTGCCACGGCCATTCAACATTGGTTTGTCACTTTTGGAGCACGTACAGGCTTATCTCATAACTTCCTCATCAGAAAACTCGTGCAATCACCATTATTAAGCATATCCCTTTCACAAGATAAAGTGTTTGAAACTTTGCTCGACTGTGCATTTCGTTTATAATTATCAAGTATACACCTTCCATTACAATGTTTATAGGTTCGGTGGAGATGAAGCACACATTTGCATTTTCTAATCTGTATGAAAGTAGATTATCGCATGCGCCGACTACACGCGACGTGGTCATGAGGACCGTTAGATCGAGCGAGCCCAGCACATGACCTAGAAAAATCGAAAGGTTGAGACTCAGGAGCACACCATTTTGGAATCTTTACATACATAACAGAGATAAGATTGAATAGTGATTACTATGACCGATGAGATTATCGATTCAATAATCTCACTGGTAATGTGCATGGAACCTCATGACGTTTGTAGGTAAGAGATTACAATTGATTTCTTGCATCAACTAGCAGTTAAATTATGCTGCGCATACATACGGCACAGCCGTTGAATAGTTTTATTCTCCTTTTATATTACACAACAAGGACTGAAACTCATAGGAACGGGTCAGAGATACTAAGATATTGATATGGAACTCCCCTATTTTTATAAGTGCTTCAAAGCTCCACAAACTTCCAAGTTCCAAGTTCTGAACACTCGCAATTTTCAAACTTCTGCAGAAAAAATGAGATTTATTAATGTTGTCACTTCTTCCCTCCTCTGTTGCAGATCAGTGTTCTTGGCCTGAAGCACAAAAGCCCCTTTGAAAAGCTGTAGAAAATAATAAAAATGACAGCAATAATAACAATGCACCACCTGTTTACGTGTGAAGTGCAAAGATATGGAAAGGTACTATTTGCCTTTCCACCCTACACTGAATCACAGACCCAGTTTTCAAGAGGATTGTGGGGAGCAACTGCACAGCGATTTGATTTATTTTCTCAGATATAAATTAGATAATACGAGTCTAGTAAAATGTGCCTGCAGGTCTTCTATGTTTTGTTTCTGTTTTCTTTTCTCCATTTTAATTGTGTTGCATCAGTCTTGAATAGTGTGGGGAATTGGGGATGTTACTCTAATTTTCATGAGATTTTATGTGTTGAATCTTGGTCAGTGAGTGCACCGAGAGAGAGAGAGAGAGAGAGAGAGAGAGATCCGTACGGTATTTAACCTCACCTCTCATCATCCTTCACAAAAATAAATGCATGAATTTAAGAAAGAAATGTCTTTTGTACTGTCAAAGAAAGAAATGTCTCATATTTCATCACAAAAAGAAAGAACACACAGACTCCCAGGAACTGAAGTCTCAATCTCTGAGCTGAATCTCCCTTTCCCTAAACCTTACCCCATCAAATCTCCCTTGACTTGACACATATTCATCGGTCAGACTCAGAGGTTCAGATAATTTGATTTACACGAATCAGAAATAGTACAAGGCTCTCTGATCTTCTGTTTTGTTGCTGTCATCAGTGAATAATAAGCTGTTGCTGCTGCTGTTACTACTAATCAGTCTCTTGACATCCTCAAGATCATAGTCCAACACGGTGTTATCATTTTCCCCAAAGCACCCACTTAAATGGTTGGCATTGTCACAGCTCCCACTGTTGCTGTAACTAGACCCAACGCTCTGTACATTGTTGTTTCCCTCAAACCCATTAGGTATATATCTTTGAAAGTCCATCTCTTCTTGCTTGACCCCCATCTCTCTCCCATAGCTGCAATCACTTCTCTCACTACTTCCGAACACGAGCATGTTGTTGTTGTTGATGTCTTTAGCTAAAGAATCATACTGGATGGGACACAAAAAACCACCCTCTTGGGCTTGAAACAGTGATGAGGAATCAGTAAAGAGAGTAGTGCTAGAGGGGAGAGATGATGAGAACTCAAGGCCTGTGATTGATGGCCTGTTGTTGCTTGTGGGGTTATAAAAAGATGTGGTGCACTCTCTGTACAGTGAGGAGGGCAGTGATGATAATTGAGACGATGGGCTAATTGGGTAATTGTTAGGAGTTGAGGATGAAAATGGAGGGATCATGAGCTTTCTCTGGGATGGTGGAATCATGCCCATGAGCTTCTTCTTAAGCTTGGTGTTCCAGTAGTTCTTGATATCATTGTCTGTCCTGCCTGGTAGCTGAGCAGCTATTATTGACCATCTGTGTGAAACAAGGGAAATATAATGAACATCTTTTCTTTAAACATATAAACTTGGTCTGGGTGTGTTAGATCTGAACATATATGGAATATATGGTGCACAAAAAATGCCCAAAATGGATGATTTTCCACACAATGCAATATTTTGTTGGAAAAAGAAACACCTACTTCTCATCTTCTTTTACTAATTCTTGTTCTACACCCATTTCAAGGAGGAAATTAATCTTTCAAGACATGAAGATAGGCTCCTGCCAAGTCCACTCAAATGATATACTTAAAGAAGTTTTGTGTAACAGAATGGAAACATCACCACACAAGTCAATCAAGAAATGGAAATAAATGTGCACACTCAAGAAACAGTTTCCACTGAGAGAGAGAGAGAGAGAGAGAGAGAGAGAGAGAGAGAGAGAGAGAGAGAGAGAGAGAGAGAGATTTCTGCATATAGATGACATGTGTATGTACCTGCTTCCAATGGTGGCGAAGAGGCTGACGATGATCCGGTCCTCCTCATCTGAGAACTCACCATGCTTAATGTTTGGCCTCAGATAGTTTAGCCATCTAAGCCTACAGCTCTTCCCACATCTCTTGAGACCTGAATGACGATGACCCAAGAAAGAAACCAAAACTCAAATCAGAATCACATATATCTTAACACACCATTATCAGACAACACCGGACTAGGTTTCAGACCGCAGATCAGAGAGAGAGAGAGAGAGAGAGAGAGAGAGAGAGAGAGATGGGTGGTACTTCATTTTGAAAATCAAATTACCAGCTTTCTGTGGGAGGGCAATCCAATTACCGCCAGTGCCATACTTCTCAATGTACTCTTTGAGCTTAGAGTCCTCTTCAGGAGACCATGGCCCTTTCTTCACATTTGCCTTGTCACAGCATGGTGCTCTTCCCATCTCTCTCCTTTTCTCTCTCTCTCTCTCTCTCTCTCTCTCTCTCTCTCTCTCTCTCTATGACCCTGTGGGTAATGAGCAAGTTCTTGGAGGATCAGATAGAGAGACAGAAGGAAACTTTCTTTTTTCCGACGATTCTTTCAGTGGGTGCGTGCTTGGGGACTTCCCTTTTATCAAGAAGCCTTCGCTTTCCACAGTGAAACAATTATTAAATTAATACGGATGGGAGTGTAATAAGTCAAAAGGAAAGCAATGTTCAATACCAAGAGATTTTCCAACTCTTGGTGGGGGGTGATTTAGCTAATTAAGCTAACAGAACTTTCCATATCCCCCCAAGTTTCTGTGTTGAAAATAACCAACTGCGATATCTTCCACAAGCCCATCTTGCTTCTCGGTATAGAATATCCTAAGTCTTAGCTCTGTAGAAACAGTACCCGCATCATTGCTGCTATTAATTCTTTCCGAATGGTGACACTTTCCAAACTCGAGACCTTTGCGACCGTGATTAATTGCATGGAAGGTACGGCGGACGCAATGATTTTGACAATGAGTTCCGTCCGAACCAACATGAAAACAATCTTTCTCAGATTTCCTTCGGCTTTTGCTCGAATGACGTTACTAATACTCATACTCATTTTCATCGAATTTTGAATATGATCCCACTTATTTAAAAAATTCATATGTAACCGGTCGTGTTACTTGTATCATTTCGTCTATTCCCCCCTCACCCCCGGTGTCTTTTCTTTTCCTATTCCTCATCGAACCGGATGTCAACAAACCTCAATGGTGCATAATCATTTGTTTACATATCTAGTTAAAAGAAGACAAGTTATAGGTGAGACACTTTTCAAACTCTAAGACCTTTGCCACACTAGAAGCGTGTTTAATTCCATGGACGGGTATAGGAGAGGCCATGATTTGTCAATAAATTCGTCCAAAACTATATGACAGCGATTTTTCCTCGATTATTACCACATTCGTGCTAAAATAATTTGCATATATATTCAACTTATTTCCATAATTAGTATATTATTGATCTGCCACGTAACTTAATATATTCACTTTGTTGATCAGTCTTAATGTTTGTAGCATTACTCTTCGTGTTCGGGAAGCTCCCTTGTATATATATTCAACTTATTTCCATACCTAGTATATTACTAATTTGCCACGTAACTTAATATATTCGCTCTGTTGATCAATCATAATGTCTGTAGAATTACTCTTCGTGTTCGGAAAGCTACGTCCCTTTTTTTTTTTTTTTTTTTTCATTTTGGACGCAAGCACGGTATTAAAACTCATTGTGCTAAACTAAAATCGCGCCAGACTTATCTACTAGCATAACAGCTCATATCTAGGCGATGCGTGATCAGAGATAATTGCAAAATCCAACATATAGGAATTTTTTAAAAGAATACAACAGAGGTATCAAATTATTGTCAATAGCAATAGCTGCCACGCTTAATATCTACATTTTCGTACTGTGATCGATTGCTAGTGTCAAACTAAGCACATTTCTAAATCTAAATGATACATACAGTAGATGCTTTGATAATTCTAGGCATGAATAGTAAATCTTTGTTAAATTATTCTAACCATCTTTTCATATTATTATATACTTATCATCTAAAATCACTATCTTGACTACAGTATTGAAAATTAAGTTTCACTTTAGGCCTAATACATTTGCGACTTTGTGTGTTCTTCGTAGATCTTCATATGACATCGACCCGCCTCAAGAGACCCTTTGGTATAGTCGTGACTGCCTTGAATTTATGCTGTGAAGCGTCGGATGTTATTGATTTGCAACATATCTTTTGAATCTGTGGCAGCACCTTAAAGTTATGTGAGATAGCTTGCTAAGAGCTGATGTAATTTTTGAAATGCTGCGGCTATTGAGGTATTTGCCAGATACTTTGAAGAGTCGCAGCACTCATTTCCACGACTGAAGCGGCTGCGAGAAAGCCGTACCGAGCAACCTCTGATCCGTGGATGGAAGTATGAAAAGAAAACCATGCGATGCAGATTTTAGCGCCATTGATTTTTCTAATCTATTCTTAGAACCAGTTCTTCAAAGAAGTGATCAAGAAGATTAGCAGATGAGATCGGGTGAACCAAATCAAAACGATCACATGTGCACGGATCCCGTAACTTCGAAGTACAGAGCAAAGCACTGCAAAAGGGTGAGTGATTTCATAGAGAAATCAATCATCGTGGGGACTGTTCAAGCACCGTGGGGACAGCGGCCAAAGCATTGAAGTGTCGATGAAACGATGACCGATGATGAGGAGAGAGATCGAGATGGGTCCCCAACGGATCGGCCACTCTCAGGTGTTTCGTCCGACTGACAATTCAATGCATGCCAAAGTGAAAAACCCATGACAAATCACGTCAATATAGCATCTCTGACTTGCAATTGTGGCCAAACAGCTTTCCGCCTCAAGATCGCCAGATCACTCTTCCGGAAGCTCTTCCACAGTACCGGAAACCCTTCTGTCAAGGAAATTAAATAAGTAATTTCTCAATCAGTCCTAGAGAAGATCTCGATTGAAATTAGGGTAAATTACGCCCTCCGATACTGTAAAGAACCGTTTCTTGAAATATGGTAGGTGGGGTGTATTGAAAGTCCTAATTTCCTTTCTTGTTGTCGATATATATAAGAAAAGAGAAATTTTCGCATATGGTTATTGAGACGCTAATTCTTGCGTGAATTTAAGAATTTTTGATTGGTTTCCAAATTTTATTTATTAAAGAAAAATTGATGTAATAAATTGGTGTGGAGTCTTCCATTTTTAGGTACCGAAGGTAGATTTATCTCGTATTACTTCATAGGAAGCCAAAATTCAAACGTTGCTTACCTCCCAAATTGTGGCATATTCGTTGGTTTTGAGATTAATCCTTAAAATAAGAAAGAGGACAAGCGTTGCCTGACAGTCCAATTGAGTGTTGAACCCAAACTCTATGCTAACTAAATCGTCAATGATGACAGAGATGTAAAAGTAAAACCTTAAAAATTATTAAAAAAAAGGAGATATTGAGGACGATGGGGGCGGCGTACATGGGGAAATTGACCATATTAGGGGTCAAAAAGTTGGTAGATTCAAAGGAACGATCGAACCAGATGTTGAAGGGCAAAACAATAGTATCGTTTTTCCACAATACGCAAAAAAGGCTTCTAGAGTAATCATCCTCGATTTGAAAAGTTAGAACCATGTGTTCCCTTTCATATACAGAGGAAGAGATGAAGTGGGGTTCTTCAAACTCTGCGATTTCTCCTTCTTGGAAGCTTCGTTCATCGGAAATGATTTGTTTTACATGATTTAGGGACCTAATTGTTTAAAGTGATGAAGAGAGAAAAATTGACAGATCACTTCAAGTGACCAGAAATTGATCATACTCAAGGCTAAAACCATAGTCGAAAGCTATTCATTTCATTAGAGACATTCGTCTTTTCCTTTTCGGCTCGCGATGAGAGTAAAAGCAACCCAGCAACATGTATTAGAATTTAAAGTTTATAATGGGACTTTAGTATATATCTCAAAAGTCAATGCGATAGACAAAGTTTTACAATCGTCAATGATTTTCTAGTATCATCCGACAAAGGTTGCTGGCGACGAGAAATGATTAATAAAACGTTAGGGGGATTTGTCGGAAGCTGCATAAGACCATGCATGGTCTTCGTTCAATAACATGCAATATTGTATTAGGGTATACTATGGAGTATGGGGTCCAGGAAAAAAATATTATTTTTGCTGCCTTGATTCATGCGTCATCGCTAACGTCTTCGTCCCTTGCCGCGAAATTTCAACCACCGTTTTCATCAGCGAATCTCACTCGCCATCCAATCACTGTGCATCTTTAATCTACTCAATCTCGTTAATTTGCTGATTCTTCTCCAAGGTTAGGGTTTCGTTTTTAAATTTTTGTGATCACATGTTGTACGTGCATGCATGGCAGAGGCAACCAGTCCCATTTCCTTTCTTTTTTACCATTTGTTGTGGGGTTTTCCTTTTCCCCTCGTCAATTGAGGTCAGATGATACCATAAGCTCAATTTCCAAGGCACTAGACTAAGGTTGTTTTACCTATTTAGCCAAATACACGCTACACATGCATTCCTAGATTAAGAGAATAATGCGAAATTGCATTCGCATTTGGTCTAGGGTTTGTGCCGTTTGATTGACTGAATTGCATATGCACGGTGCTAGAATCGAATGCGAGATCTCTCACGCGATGCGCATTGACCTGCTTGATTATGCCCCCAGAAGCTACCCTCTTTCTTTTCAATATGTGATTTAGTTTGAATATATGTTGTGGGGTCTATGGTTTTGGCCAGTTTTATGAGGTGCGGGTGTGCACTTCAATTGCTAATTAATTTTATGAGTTCTACTTGAAGCTCGGATCCTTATGTGTGTGTGTTTATTTGGTGGATTATTAGATGTAGAAAGATACACAAGAGAGCGATAAAGTGTTGGACAAGAAAGTGTGAGTAATGCATGCTATTTGTTAGTATTTAGTAGATGAGTGATGGAGAGAATTAAGAAGATAAGGGTTGACCTTTGTCCAGGTCATTAGCCGAATGTCGTTAAGATGTATATGATTAGGCTGTTGTTTAATCGAACGGTATGCTGATTTTATGTAATCGCCAGAGAAATCAAAATTCAAAAATAGAAGGGTAAAGTATTATTGCTGGTATAGTACGTCACCAAGCCAATAGTTCACCCCCCCCAGAGGACAATTACTTAAGTTTTTTTTTTATTTATTTCAACAGTTCCAGAGACATGATAGGTCCGATGATATTGCATCGGCATGACGCGGGGTATAACTGATGCGCAAGATAATTTCTTAATTTGAAATCGGGATATTACTTTCTTTTTCCATTCGGAGAATAAATCATGAGCATGCTTGCGAGCTAAAACCGAGGAGTAGAATATTGTTTCGACCGCCGATTTCCTTAAGAAAACTATAACTTGGGAATGGATCTGAAAGGTGTTCAAAATATGAGTCCGAGTCTCCAACAACCACTTTCAATGTATTATAGAAAATGATTAAAATGCTACCCATTTCTCATAACCTTCCATGTAAGGGAATAGATCTTGGGAAAATTTCCTATATTAACTACTTGCTG